TTCCAATTCTTTGCTGAACCTTGTGCTGCGATTTTTTTGACGTGGAAAAATTATGGTGTGGCGATGCCGGACCATAAGCATGCGTCTTGCTAAAAATCTTGTCTCTGCCTGTCCCTTTCCCTCCCCTGAGATTTTTTGGAAGGATTTTTTGGAGCTGAGCAGCTTGCAGAAAACCACGGGAGCAGACGTGCACCGTGACATTATTTCCTAGCAGGGAGGGTGGGAGAGTTGCCGCTAAGACGCTTGCTGTAGGAAACTCATCGCTGAGCTCTCTCGGCACCGGAATTTATTCCGGCTCTTCTTCTCCCGATAAAACACACACGTGTGAAGCTGCTGTCGCTGTCAGCTGGCCACGAACCTGCAGAAGGAGAGGGAGCTCGCTTTGGTCCCCCTCCCTGCGAAGGGGTTCAGCTGCTCCCGCCGGCTCGGCCAGCACCGGGGCCTGATCACACGCCAACAAACCTACTGCATTGCATCTGTAAGCAAGGCGCGCGGCACGTTGGCGTGGCAAAGACATATAAGGACGTCCCGTATTTCCTGGGTTGCCTTATTTTCGGCGGTGTAGGAAGCGAAGAGCAGTAGGTGAGCCGTGTCCGGGTCCCGTGCTCCGTCAGCTGGACTCTCCTTCCCCGCGTCGGCTCTGCTGTTGCATCCCCTTGGCACGCCGCTGCCTGCAAATAAACTGTTTTGAAAAGTGAAACGCTACTTAAGACTCCGTTCTGCTCTTTTAAATTTATTTGAGGAGCGGTTTTATTCGCTGCGGGCTTTGTGAAGATGAACTAGGAGAAGCCTGGGGAGCTGGGTCCTTCACTGAAACCAGCTGTTTCAGCTGCTTTGAAGTCTGGTTTTGTTTGGAAACGGCACCTTGGAACAAATTTGCACCACATCTGGTGTCTTTCCTCATTTGAATTGCAAAAGCTTCCGAGGAGAGAGAAATGCAGACGGCCAGTCTCCAGCCCGAGGTCGTGGTTTGACGATAGGGTAAAATCCAGCTCTAGGGCACCTTCTGCAGATGAAAAATGAGATTGCCCCGTGACACGCAGCGCTGACACGGGGTAAACCCTCTGCTAGCTCAGATAATTCTGTTGAAAAATAAGTAATAGTAACAATTTGACTCTTAACTGCTTCTGCCTCCGCTTGGTCGAGTCGCGGAGGTGCTGGATAGAGCCTGGGAAAGCGAAGCCCAGCAGGGCGGCTGCCGAGCCGTCGAGTCCTGGTGTAAGCGGGAAGAGGAGATGCTAAAACCGAACAGCAGAGTTGCTTAAAATTTCTTTCTTCCCTGTTGCTTCCTCCGTGCTCAAAGCGATGGATTCCCTCTGTGGAAAGCCCTTCTCCCCCGTACGCGAGGTGCCGCCGGAGATCATCTCTAGTGAAATTATTCCTCTTCCCAGCAGGAGCGGTTTGATGAGTGACTAATTTTTTTTCACCAGAGCTTCAGCTCTATTTTGTGCTGAACTAAACTTAGCGAGAGTATTTATAGTGTAATTAATAAAGGTGAGGTGGGTTTGGGTTGGTTGTTTTTTTTTTTTCTTTTTTCGGTTCTTAGCTCTGTTCCTTCACTGTTTGAATGAAAATCTGCCCACGCTGCTTTCTCCTGCCTCTGGGTTTGGATGGGGCTGCTTAAATTGAGCTCAGCTGTCTGTCTTGAGTCGAATGAGCGTGTAACAGCGGCTGAACGCAGGCTCTGTGCTACCAAACAGCCCTGCGCCGAGCCAGCGCTTACCGTGTCCCCTCGTCTCTCTGGTCCCCTTGTCTGCCTTGTCCCCAGAAGGTGAACTTGGCGCTTCCAGAACAAAGACGTTTTCCAAGCGTAGCGATGCCGCGCAGCTCAGCTTCTGAAGAAGCGTCGGGGGAAGCTGTAGAGAAGCTTTGAAACAGTCCAGGCTTGTATTGCCGCGGTGTTTGCATGTAAATATAAACTGATTCGGGGTAAATATGCATTTTTTTTCCTTGTACGGCGTTTCTCTCCTTGCCTCCTCCTTTGCTGCTGGTCAGGGGGAAGTGGAAATGACTCCTCAGAAGTAACTTAAAATAAGAAGCAGGAGTTTGTTGACGGTGCAACAGGCGTTTTTGAAAACCCCTGGCTCAAACACAACTCCGCCTGCCGAGCAGGTCCCCTCCTTGGTGCTCTAACTCAGTTACGTGCTGATCATGGCGGATACGCTCCAGTCAAAAAGCCTGTTA